CTCAACCTCAAGGTAAAAGCTCAGAAGCATGATGGGCGCGGCGATGATGACGTGGAGCGTGATCATGATCTTGGCAACCGTGGCAGGCGCGCCCGTGGGGATCGAGTCCAGGACGGGTGAAACCACCTTGTCGCCGTAAGCCCAGTACCCAGAGATGCCGATAGTGAGGTAGGCGACGGAGCAGAAGACCATGGCGGCGAGCATGACCATCTTCCATTGCTTGGGCTTCTTCATCGACGCCTCGACGTGTGGGTAGACGACGGAGCCGGCAAAGGAGAAGACGATGGATGACAGGGCAATGGGGACGCCAACGCCGATGGCTACGTCGTGACCGGGCTCGGGCTCCGTGGGGTGCATCTTTGTGTAGGGGAAGCGGAACGACTGGATGGTGGCGACGAGGATCACAACGATTGAAGCAATGAGTCCAAAGATGGCAAGGATGGCAGCCTCGGACATCTCCTTCAGCAGAGCAACGGGCACCCAAATAACCAGCGACACAATGATCATCCACACCTTCTTGCTGATATGCACGCCCAGTGTCGACACCAGCTGGTAGATGAACTGGCCACCAAGAATGATGTAAAGACAGGTAGTTCCAAGCGAGTACATGTAGTTGAAGAACTGCGTTGCATATTGCCCGTATTTGCCAAACGAGGCACGGCCAATCTCAGGGAACGAGTGCAGGCGCTGGCCCTCCTTATAATACAGGCACTTGATCGTCAAAGTGCCCGTGTACCCGCCGATGAAGGCCGAGAAGACGATGATCAGGGTGCCGATCCACCCAGTCTTGGCAAAGGCATAGGGGATTTGGAGACACCCAGTGCCAATGATGATGCAGACGATGCTCGAAAACGAGCGCACAAAACCGGCATTGCGTGGCGGCAAATTGTGGCTCAGACTTGCCTGATCCTGCGCGGCTGTGATGTCTTGGAGTCTGTCCTTGGCCTCCATCGAGAGTTCGTCCTCCTCGATGGGCGTCTTCTTTTCGTCCATCGATCTTGTCTCGGTGAAGACGGCATCGATGCCGTCGTCTCTTTCTTGGATGCCGCCGACGGATCCACGGAAGGGACCACCGCCAGCGGCAATTGCAGGGGTGTTGGGGGCATCAGTGGCGCCTGGGGTGGGAGTAGAGGATGCAGAATCTGCGCTGCCACCACGATTCAGCACTCTGCTGAAGAGAGCAGTCAAGGCCATGATGTCTTGAGGAAATAAAGCACTAGTATAGCAGTAACAAAGGAAAAATACAAGGGTTACAGATGATGGAAGACAGGAAGGTGCACAGCCTGGGCGAGAGGGTGTTGGGTGGAGTTGGCAGGGGCAAGGAAAGGGGCCTCAGCTGCTGGAATATATACGCAGTTGCCTCTGAGGAAAAAATTTGAAATTGGAGCAGGTGGGGCATGTGAGGAGATCCCCTTCCGCCAGAAGGCCTAGATAGTAAGTCTATAGAGCGGAAATAGGCCGAGCGCTGGAAAGGCGGGGGCGGGGGCGGGAGGAGAGGTGTGTGAGCAACAGGGCTCGTTCAGTGGGCGAGCTGCGTGCTGCTCATTCCATTGCCACGCCGCCGCCGCCGCCGCCTCCCACAAAGCCAGAAAGCAGCTGCTATCGCTCCCATCCTAGAGCCCAGCCGCTCCTTTGTCGATTTCACAAACAATGGCCAGCCTGATTCGGAGCGGTCTGAAGGAGGTTGGGACATGTGTGGAGCGCATTTCCATTAGAATGCTATCAGCACCTTATCCTAGAACCTTGTGAGCAAATGGGAAAGAAAATAGAAATAGAAAGGGGCCGCGAGGATCATGGAAGGGGGCAGTCATTTGCTATAGCAAGGCTACGTCGCACAAAGAGCATTTGAAATGCTATAGCGATTGGTGGTGAGGTGGGTCCCAAGCACCGAAACGCCCAGATTAGGAAGCAGTCATGTTTGCGTGCGGAGCGCTCGCGTGCACATCCCCACACCCATGCTATGGTATTGGGGGGAGGCGAGGCAGTCTGCCGCTGATCGCAGTTCCTATTTCCTCCGCCCTATCACCGTGGCCGGCGTCCACCAGTCTGCCGTGCATGTCGGCACAGGCAACAAACAAACACCATATACGGCCGACGCAGCAGCAGACGTTACGAAAGGAAATAGGAGGGGGGTTCTAGCATTCCTTGGCTGCAATTCTGGGCTTATCGCACACCAGCTTTCCAATTGCAGTGGTATGTTTTAAGGGGCACTGGCTCGCTGGTTTCCGCTCTAACCAGGCGCTGGCGTGGTCGAGCAATCGCGCTGCTGGTGACGCACTGGCGTGACGTCAAAGCGCCTGGCGCCATCTTCAATTGAGAATAGCTCGTTGATGCGTGGCAGCATCCCGTTCCCACCCTCATTGTCGCTCCCAGTCCATGTCTACCACAGAGCGATTTCCGCCACCCGGCTTGCATGTGCTCTCAGCCAGTGCCCTGCTGGATCCACTAAGCGTGACTGTGGAAACAAACACCGGGCGCGCGAGGTCACAGTGCGAGCAGATGGTGCGTGCACTACATAGATAGAAAACACCCGAGGACGTGCATGCATAATAGCGGCAATCTTAAAAATGGCTGAAGGCAAATGGCGGAGGCGTCGTATGTCCCTTCGCCCTTCTTACATGTTGCTTATGAAACGTGGAGCGCAATGCGAATCGGCTCATTTCTGATTGCTCCAGGCCCGCCCTTGGTTGATCGGCCAGAACCGGAGACCAGCACAAATCTGATCTGGAACCAAAATCGATCTGCTGAGCCTCCTGATCTGATGCGTGCTTCGAAGCGGGGCGGCTATTTAGCGACAAAAGAGGATGTGCGCTCGCTCCCTAGCGGGCATATTTTGGAACGGCGCTGCTGCCCAGCGACTGGGCGAAAATATCCGCCTGGCCAGAGGGAGCCGTGGAAGAGCTCTGTGGTCGCAGCCGGGGTGCAATGGCCATCTCCGCCAGCGCGCAAGTTTTTCCTGGCGAGTTTCCCACCGCGCAGAAGGGCCGCTGCGCGCGGGCGTTTGCTACGCCAAAAGCCAGACTCAGCCACAGCAGCAGCAGCGCAAGCGGGGTGGAAGTGGCCACACCCAACAGAAACGCTCGTGGCAAGAAAAGGCAATGTGGAATTTTTTTGTATTGCTATTATCCCCCATCCCGCACCATAGGGCCCAACAGCACAGCCAGAGGCAGGCAGCGCGCTGAGAATTAAAGCAGCCCCTCCACCCCACCCCAACCTGTAGCGCCTAGAGAAAATTTGCTGCCTGCCACACGCTCTCCTCTCTTCTCTCTCTCTCTCTCTTATCTCCTGCTGCACCTCGCTATTATTCCTACGTGCTGTTGTGTTGTCTCCCTTTGTAATTTGTAAGTAGCTGCCCCCAGTGGCAGAATTGGAATGCACGGGGCTGCGAATGAGCAGTGCAGATTAGCTAATCCCACTTCATGGTACTTGTTGCGCTTTTGTAGAAACATGCTTCGCACAGCCGCCTTCACCGCTCTCCGCCAGGCCAAGCCTGCTGCTGTCTCCAAGGGCTCTCTGCTCCAGGTAAGTCGGTGCCATTATTGGTACATACGACCGTGGCTTTCACACGCACGCGCAGGCAGCGTGGGGTCGCGTGTGGGCATGTGAGAAAAGATGGTTTCCTGGTACTGGGATT